AAACCCCCCAAAACAAAAAACACTACCCTTATGGTCCATAAACATATCACTAGATTTTTCAAAAAGAATCATGATACAGAGTAGTTTAAGAACCTGCACTCTAGGGTTCCTAGGGGTAGCGTTTGAAAACCGAGAAGACGGCAGTGCTGGTGTTGGGTTCAATGATCCATTTCACAGCTCTTACCAGGACTGGAAATTACCGTTTACCCACCTCTCTCCTCCCCAGGAGATAAGCGCCTTGTGGCAGGGATACTGCCTGCCGTGACCACCCTCGCCGCTGCTGACACAGTAAGAGGTCCACAGTAGGCCCTCGGTAAATATTCGCCGTAAAACATGAATGATCTATAGGCTTGTCGCGGGCGGAAGACTGGGGATCTACGGCCCCAGTGCAGCCCCGTGGCGCCGAATACTGCGAGTTGGGGTCTTCACGTGCCGCGCTGACTCCACTTCCCAGCGCTGTGTCCGGGATACCAGCAGCTTCGGCCGCTCCTTCTCAGCGCCTGGAGTGCGGCCGCTCGGGCGGGAAGCAGCTATAGGCCATTGCGGTTGCCAATCTTATCAACGGCGGCTCAGCCCAGCGTCCCCTAGTAGACGTAGTTGCCGGAGGGCCCGCCCACCCGCCCTCCGATTGGCTCTTCATACTCCCGGAGCCTCCTGGGAGACGTAGTTCAGAGAGTCATCGCACAAACGCCGACGCCGCGGGTACACACCCCGGGGTGAGTCGCGCATCTCGGACTTTTCCCTCCCTCCGGCAGGCCCCACGGGGTCCCGGCAGGGATGGTGTGCCGGGCGGGTCTCCACCCCAGCGCCTGCCCGCCTGTCACTGCCCTGCGCAGACACTTCCCCTTTATCCTGGGGCCGTTCTTCCCGCAGACAAACCTCTCCTGCCCCAAGCGCGGGGTTTGGGCGGAAGGGGTCCTGGAGGTGATGGCAGTGAGGGGCAGGGATCTCCTGTCCACCTCTGTAGACACCGCCCACGACGTGCCAAGCGCTGGACACCAAAGAATGAAGCTGGCACTTCTCCCACGGTGCCAGGCGCGCTTGCAATCATCTCATTGAATTCCAGAAACGACCCGTTTGACAGACAGGAAAACAAATTCAGAGAGGTCGAGTAATTTGCCCAGGTCACACAGGTCCTAGATCTTGGATTCCCATATCTCCTCACCACTCCGGGCAGCTTCCAAACTCATAAACAGTTTCAATGCAAGGTGGTGAACAGGAATGACCGGAGCACCAGGCAAGAGGGGTCAGCTCTGCCAGGGGTGGGAGGTGGGAGTTGGGAGTGGGGGCAGGATTATGTAAACCGAACCTCAAAGGGTGCGGGGAAGGGAAAGCAGTTGCCTTTGGCTGTCAGGGACTGTATGCTCAAGGCGAGCCTCCTAATAGGGTCCATATAAACACTGGTAGAACAAAAAAATTTTTTTTCAATTTTTTAAATTGTAAGATGTTGGGACTTACCTGGCGGTCCATGGTTAAGACCCCACTTCCACTGCAGGGGGTACAGGTTCCATCCCTGGTCGGGGAAACTAAGATCTCAGATCCCGCATGCCATGTGGACAGGCCAAAAAAAAAAAAAAAAAGTTTAAATACATAGGAAAATTTAAAGAGTAAAATGAACACCCACTTACTCTCCATCTAGATTCAACAATCAGAATAATGTGTACTGCACTTTACAACTTATAAACGCTCTTGCTTAACGTTACCATAGTGCAAACAAAGCTCTCATTTGGTAAGCCGATTGGAGACCTATTCTGACACCACTACTGCATCACCTGGGACAGGTCAAAGCCACCCACCGCAACCTACTTTGGGAAGTTGGCTTCCTCTCCCTGCTTTCCCATTCTGCTCAGGAGGTCGGAGCTTGTCCCTGAATTTGGTTCACCCTCAGAGACCACAGTTACAGTATGTTTCTCAGAGGGAGTTCATTGCCTGGAAATTCACTTTGAACTTGAATGGTTAGCCTCTCAAAGTCTCAGATTTCTCCCTTAAAATTCAATATACTGGTGGGTGAGGGAGAGTTTGGGTCACAGAGGGATCCATTATTTTCAGTTCCAGGTTAACACAGGAACTCTTCCACGATCTTCTCAACAGGTCTTTCCATTCTCTTAATAAGAGATATGTATTATATTCAAATACAGTAAACCTCCTTTATCATGATGGTTGCGGGGACAGGACTGAAATCAGCTTTGAAGCAAAGCTAATCATAAAATACTTTTTAAAAACTATCTTTTTTATTATAAAATACATATTGATTTTAAAATCCCAAAATGATAAAAAAATGAATGTGGTAGAAAGTGATACCCCTGATGACCAGGAATGGAGAAAAGATCCGGGTGTCTGAGCTGTGCATCACTTAGGAGGAGAGCAAAAGTTGGACCCTTTGCAGCAGTTGCATTGGTTTTAGATTTGTCATGTCCCCAAATAAAGGCACAGAGGTACAGGACTGAAAACTGCTTTGAAGGTTACAGAGGTATAGTCACAGAGGTACAAGAAAGAAGAGTTCATCAACAATCCATTTTACTTGTTAAATCAAACATTTAAAATGCATCCCAAGGACTATAATCCTATTTTCACATTTCTTCATTTTAAATCACTGGAACCTCAAAAAATGGAAGCTCTGTGAACCTCTCTTGACCTAGAAAGGCCTCAGTGGCAACAAAACACTGCCTTTCAAGAAGTCCCTGCTTCAGAATTGCCCCTGTTGCAAAAAGTGTCACTGAAATTGCAAAATATCCTGCTGTAGACTGGAAAGCCCCACTTCCTACCCGATTCTGTCGTAGCTGCCTTAGTCTTAGCTTAGAGGAGTTTCCTGGCCAGACAAGATGGTGTCAGAGATCCCAGGAACACGAAGGATGCTTTGTGGCATTGCACGATTTCATCATTTCTGTCTCAGCAGTGGGAGACTGCCTTCCGGAATCTTGTACAGGTCCTGGTCCCAGAGAAACCCCAGTTAAAATCCTTCTGGCCCAACGTGAGAATTTCACACATCTGACATTTGCACCATAAAAGTGCATTTGGGTTCATTCATTTTTTAGGGAAGTTGTTGGGTTTGGGTATTATTTTCTCACCAGGATCCAGAAAACTGGATGCTGTCAGCTGTTAAACCCCAAACACTTAATACTCTGTAAGATATAAAGCCCATGGACCAATCGGAAGCCTTGATCCCAGGTTGGTCATACAGAGGGGCTGTTTGTTCAGCCAGGCAACAGAATGCTGTCACTGACCTGTGGGAATGGTCAGCATGGCCCATTTTGAGCCTCGTTGGTCGCTGAAAAGGTGACATCTACAGTTAGTGGTGAATAGTAAAATAACAAAGTACCATCATGTAGGGGGACAATACTGCAAAGTGGTTAATAGAGTGAGTTTGAACCCTGGCTCTGGGCAAGTATCTAAGCCACTAATCCCGGCTGTAAATGGAGATGATGAATCCTGCACTGAAGGGATACTGCAGAGATTTTAGGGAATAATGGATATAAAGCACAGAGTTAAAAAAAAAAAATCACAGAGTAAACATTGTTGAAGGGTAATTGTATTACCAACAAAACATCTGTAAGCCAAACATTTCATGAGGAACACACAAAGTTTAATCCAGGATGTGCAAATGATGCCAACTAAGTGATAGAAATACCACCATTTTGCAACTACCACTCTAGCAACTGATTTAGGAAAGGATCATCAATGAAGGCTAACACCATGGGGTGAAAGATTGTGAGGGAGCGAGACCTTTCCACACACCGAGGTTCCATATTAATTACAAAGAAAAAAATGGCCTTTTACAACGGAGAGATCTCAAGGAGGCGTGGATGGACCCTCAGTCTAATGAGGAGACAATCACACAAATCTACATTGAGGGACACTGCTTGGAACGGACTTTTCAAAAACATTATTTATTTATTTACTTTTTAATAAGAGGGCTTGACGAAGCAAGCCTCCAGGTCTGAGACCTCACCCACTGTCCCCACTTTATTTTTTATATTTATTTATTTATTTTTGGCTGCTTTGGGTCTTTGTTGCTGCACGTGCACTTTCTCTAGTTGCAGCGAGCAGGGGGCTACTCTTTGTCGAGGTGCGTGGGCTTCCCTTGCTGCAGAGTATGGGGCTCTAGGCGCCCGGGCTTCAGTAGTTGTGGCGCACGGGCTTAGTTGCTCCGCAGCATGTGGGATTTTCCCGGGCCAGGGCTCGAACCCGTGTCCCCTGCATTGGCAGGAGGATTCTTAACCACTACGCTACCAGGGAAGCCTTCAAAAACATTAATGTCTTGAAAGAATTTTAAAAGGTGAGGGGAATGTGAAAGTGTTCTAGATAAAAGGAGACTACAGAGATATGGCAACTAAAGGCAATGCAGGATCTCTGATTGGATCCTGGATTGGGACAAAAAAAAAAGCTATCAAGGACATTACCAGGACAATTGGGGAATTTGATTATGGAAAGCTTGTAGTATTGTAACAACATTAAATTTCCTGAGTGTGATAATACTACTGTGATTATTTAAAATAATATCCTTGGGAATTCCCTGGCGGTCCAGTGGTTAGGACTCGGCGCTTTCACTGCAGAAGGCCCGGGTTCAATTCCTGGTCGGGTAATTAAGATCTGACAAGCTGAGTGGGGGCAGCCAAAAATAAATAAATAAATAAAATTTAAATAAATAAATAATAAAATAATATCCTTGTATCCTCATTCTTAGTATTTAGGATAGCTAGGGTATTTGAAGTGATATCTGACATGCTTTCAATTTATTACGAAATGCTTCAAAAAAACAAAAAAGTGTGTGCATTTGTGATAGAGGGAATCACCAAACATGAAATGTAAATGGTTGGTGAACCTAGGTAAAGGGTATATAAGTGTTCATTGTACTATGCTCTCAAATTTTCTGTGAATTTGAATTTTTTTTTTTTTTTCAGTACGCGGGCCTCTCACCGTTGCGGCCCCTCCCACTGCAGGGCACAGGCTCCGGACACGCAGGCCCAGCGGCCATGGCTCACGGGCCCAGCTGCTCCGCGGCATGTGGGATCCTCCCGGACCGGGGCACGAACCCACGTCCCCTGCCTCGGCAGGCGGACTCCCAACCACTGCGCCACCAGGGAAGCCCTGAAATTTTTTGAACCAAAAAGTTGAGGATAAAAATCAATGTAGCAGAAAGACACAGCTGTTAACGGAGGAAGCAGTCAGCTCCCCCCATACAAACTCCATTAGCTTTGGAGCCACCGCTGGGGCCCCATACTGGGCTGCAAGCCCTAAGAACGACTATGCCTTTTTCACCCTTGTTTCTCCAGCATCCTGGTCCAGAACATGTGTTCAGTACACGTGCATGCATGACACCCTCCCTCCGGAGTCTGCTCCCAGGAAGCCACGGCAGAGTTAGCGCTGGGACAAATAAATCAGGATGGTGGTCCCAGGCGTCGCGTTTCGAGGCCTTCGTGTTGCTGGAAGAACCAGACAACTGGAACTACATCAACAGGGGCGACCCCAGGGCTTGTCTCCTGGTGGTGCCCTTCTGGCCTCACCTGCCTTCTTGGGCAGGGAGGGGCAGAGCTTGCAGGGCTGTATTTGCTGCTCCCCATCCCCCTGTCATTGGCTCCAGAGGGTCAATAAAATCCCAAGAGTCTGGAGAAGAGCAGTTGGCCAGAGGGGCTGACCCTCATCATGGTTCTCTCCAGCATGGGACCAGGGGCTCTGTTCCCCCCACTCCCACCCCCGTATCCTGGGAGGGGAGAGGGAAGCATCTGACTGCCTGCCCAAAGATCTAGAATCTGGAATCCAATCCCAGACCCTTCCTCAAAGACTCATCCACCACTATGCAGTCCAGCCCAAGTCAGTGAGAGCTGGGTGCTGATGACCAGGTGTCTGACAAGGCATTGAGTCCTCCCAGCTGGAAAAGCCTCTGAATCTGTAAGAAAGAGAACACAAACCAACAATGACATACTCACAGCCTTACTCTCAGTTCCCACCAAAACACAGAGCATTTCCTGTGCCTTTTCCGTTATTTCACAAGCTGCTTCTTAGTCTCCCTCTGGGCTCCAGGACAGACAGCTGCTTCTCCCCTCAGAAGCCAGACAGTTGCCTCCAGCCTCTCCTGGTCAATGCCATGGCCAAGACCCGTAGTGACCATCTGCTGTACTCCCTGGAAGAGCTGGTGCCCTATGACTTTGAGAAGTTCAAGTTCAAGCTGCAGAACACCAGCCTGGAGAAGGAGCACTCCCGGATTCCCCGGGGCCAACTCCAGACAGCCAAGCCAGTGAAGCTGGCCACTCTGCTGGTCACCCACTATGGGGAGGAGGACGCCGTGCGGCTGACCCTGCAGGTCCTGAGGGCCATCAACCAGCACCTTCTGGCAGAGGAGCTCAACAGTGCAATCGGCCCAGGTAAGCGGCCCCATGCGCCCTCCTGCCCCACTGCGACTGCTGGCTGTTTGCAGAGTGGGGTGGAAGGTACAAGGGGGACCAGTTCGGCCAGTGTGTCCTGACTTGGGGGTTAGGAGTCCGAGGTCTGCAACAACCCTGGTGACTTTAGCCAAGCAAGTCCTTTCCCCCTCTCTGGTCTTGGAAGCTGTAGTAAAGCTAAGGCTCTCAATGGCTTTTTTAAAAAAACCCAGAAGCATGAGGTTCTGACTATGGGGCAGAATCAGGAAAGGCAGGAGCTGGATGTCTGTTGGTAGAGAATTCCTCACTTCATTTGTCATTAACACTTACCTACAGATGAGTATCTTTGGGTGAGCAAGAAACTAACCACTCCTGTCAAGAGGGTTGATGGGTAATCTCACCTGTTATCCACTTCATTTCAGTTTTGAGTTCTTCTCTAACACGTTACAAAGATATTTTAAAATTCTAAAAGGACTTTCTCCTTCCTTATCTTTTCCTTCCTTCCTTTCCTCTTTGTCTTTCTTTCTCTCCTTCCTTCTCTCTCTCCCTTTTCCCTTCTTCCTTCTTTTTTTTTTTGCGGTACACAGGCCTCTCTCTCTCACTGTTGTGGCCTCTCCCGTTGCAGAGCACAGGCTCCGGACGCGCAGGCTCAGCGGCCATGGCTCACGGGCCCAGCCGCTCCGCGGCATGTGGGATCCTCCCAGACCGGGGCACAAATGCATGTCCCCTGCAATGGCAGGCGGACTCTCAACCACTGCGCCACCAGGGAAGCCCCTCTTCCTTCCTTTTATCTTATATTTCTTTCCTTTTTTCCTTCCTTATCCTTCTTCTGCTACTCTTTTGCCGTAACTTTCTGATTTTATTACCTTGTGATCAAAGACTGTGGCCTATTTGATTTCTGCTTTTAAAGACTTTTTTGGACATTTGGGGTGGAGGGGCTAATCTGTGATCAGTTTAAAAAACTATTTTTCGATGTTTGAAATTTTCTTCTATTTCTAGACTTTAAGAATACATTAGGAATGCTTTCCATGTGCTTCTATGAGGTAGAAGAGTTTACATAACATAAAAATTCTCTGCTCTTTGAAAGAGTGATAAAGCTAAACTGTAATCTGAGTCTGGTGTAATTTGATGAGTAGAATTTTAAAATTAATTTTTTGTATTTTAAAATCTGGTTATTCATCTCTTCAGGGTTTCTTACCAGTTCTTGAACCAGTTTTCATAACATATTTTTCCTAGAAAGCCAATAGCAAAGTGTTTTAAGCAACTTTAATTTTAATAAGGGCTTTTCAAACCAAAAATTAAGGTGCTAATTATAGGTTATTTTCATTTCTTTATTAAAGTAGTGGTTTTCAAATTGTATCCCAGGAAGACATTTCAGGGATTCTTTAGAATGTTAGCAAATACTTGATTCAAATTTTATTAACTAACTTACAAAACTAACAAATTCATATTAAAATGAGTGATTAACCAAATTTTAAAATATTGGAGGCCATCAGTGTGACAGTTCATGCTTGAACTCCTTTTTATGGAGACCCTGGAATTCAGCCCTTCCTGTCATTTCTGTTTAATTAAACATTGTTCTGAAATTTCCAGGCAAGCTGTCTTTTATAAAAAATTACCATTGGGCTTCCCTGGTGGCGCAGTGGTTGAGAGTCTGCCTGCCGATGCAGGGGACACAGGTTCGTGCCCCGGTCCGGGAAGATCCCACACGCCGCGGAGCGGCCGGGACCGTGAGCCATGGCCGTTGAGCCTGCGCGTCTGGAGCCTGTGCTTCTCAACGGTAGAGGCCACAACAGTGAGAGGCCCGCGTACCGCAAAAAAAAAAAAAAAAAAAAAAATTACCATTTACACTTATCTGTGTGAGTTAGGATTTTCTTCACTTCATGAAACCAAAGGGGGAAAAAAAACCCAAAATAAATTAGTTTCTGAAGTTTTCACTGTCCTTCATGACCCCGATTTCAATTTTTTGTGCTGATCTTTATTGACTGATAAGTGAGTTTTGTAGATCTGTAAATCACACACAAATGTATACCCATAAACTAGGGTTTTCACTTATATATTAAGAATTCTATGTAAGACCTTATATTGGAAACAAGTTCTCCTGCCTAAAAAGTTTGAAAAGCACTATTTCAGAAATAAGATAGCAGATAATTAGTATGTTCTTATTTAATGGTAATTGACTGCTGTTGTCTAGAATGTCCTGAGCTTCTCTAATTTCCAAAGGGATTCTGTCTTCTCTCCCTTCCCCCAAACCTTGAACCTGAGCACTGGACATTTTCATGCCTTTCCATCTCATTGTCTTTTCAGGGTGTCAGGTAAAAGAAAGTGACACAGACAGTTCAGCAATGTCTGGTTCCTCTGGGGAGATTAAGCCCAAGAGTCTGAAGATACCAGATGGCCTGGAAGGTGACAAGCAGCGACAAAGTGGTGATGGGGCTGGCTGCCCACCATCCATCCAGCCCGAGGCTGGAAGGGGGCCCCAGAAGAAGCCTCTGGGCAAACAGAGAGATCAGAAAGGCTCTGAGCGCCTGGATGTGCAGGGCAAGCCAGGGGCCAGGAACACAACTCTGTCTTCCAAGAGAAGCCCCTTTCCCAGCAAGCCACAGGGGGAGAAGGGGAGCAATGTGGGGGTCAGGCTGCGCAGGAACGCCAGCTCTGCAGGAAGGCTCCAAGGACTCTCCAGTGGGTCGTTTGCTGGGTCCCTGGGAAGGAGAGAATTTAAGATATCTGAAGCATATTTACCTTCAGGAAAGAAGCGACCCAAAAGTCTTGAATTTACTATTTCTTCAGGAGAGACAGAACCTCTCAACCCAGAAACTCTTCTGCTTCAAGAGAAAATGAGATGTGAGAATCCAGGCTCAGCAGCCACTCTGAACACAGGGGCTACTGTGGCTGCAGAGAAAGGATCCAGGAATCCAGAACACGCCATGACTCTGGAGGGGGTAGCACTCAGGAATACACTTTCCAGTGTATCGTTGGCTGGAAAGAAGATCTGGGAGCATCCAGAGTCCACAGTACCTGCAGAGAAGAGTGGAACTGAGGCTCCAAAGACCTCTAAGGCCTTGGAGGAGGTGGTAGGTGGTATGCTCCATGATTCTTCAAATCCAGAAGTCCCTCCATCTTCAGGTAAGAAAGGACCTCAGAATCCAGAAGACCTGGCATCCTTAGGAATGATAACCTTTGCAGGTTTCCCCCTGCAAACCTGCTTTTATCCCCACTGTATTCATTTCACTGGATCTCTGGGTCCCCCTTGAGGTCCTCCACCCTTTGAGAATCTGATGTAGGCTCTGAATCCTGAAAAATGCATATCTGCACATTTTCATAAAAATGTTGCATACATTTCAGTTAGTTAGTTCTTAGACACTCTGAAGTCCTTCTTTAGAATTCCCAAGGGCTTCATGGACCCCAGGTTGAACATCTGAGAAAGATTGGGTACAAATATCACCTTCTCACAATACCTCATGGCAGTATGTCATGGGGCTACGATTCTGCTATTCGCCTCTGTCTGGGCAGGGAGGGAGCTGTTGGCTAAAGTCCTAGGTCTCTTTTACTAAAGAGGCAGAAATTAGGACGGTGATGGGTTGTGAATGACAGAAACGCCAAAATAACATAACTGAAACAAGATAGACGTTTGTTCCTCTTTCACATAAATGACACACAGGTGGTCCAGGACAAATGTGGTACACCGTGGTCAGGAACCCAAGCTCCTGCTGCTTTTCTGCTCTACGGAGTTTGCTCTCAAGGTTGTGGTCTCAGATGGTGGCATCCTCATTCCAGGCAGCAGGATGGAGGGACAAAGGAGAATAGTATCACTTAGGGAAGGTTTTCGGAAGTTTCTAGATGCTGCTCGTGATGCCTCCATTTACTTCCTCTTGGCCAGAATGTACAGGCACGTCGTGGGTTTGGTTCCAGACCACTGCAATAAAGAGAATATTGCAGTAAAGCAAGTCACATGAATTTTCTGGTTTCCTGGTGCATATGTTTATACTATACTATCATCTATATTAAGTGTGCAATAGCATAATGTCTAAAAAGAAAAATGTACCTACCTTAATTTAAATATACTTTATTGCAAAAAAAAAAAACTTTATTGCTAAAGAATGTTCACCATCATCTGGCAACACAGCGTTGCCACAAACCTTCATTTTCTTAAAAATGAAAGAGTCTGTGAAGGACAATAAAGTGAAGTGCAATGAAGTGAGGTGTGTCTGGAGTCACATGACCACATCTAACTGCAAGGGAGGCTAAGAAATGTTTTTTTTGGGTGGTGGCGGGGAGCAGCCATATGGACAGCAATCAATACTATCACAAGGGAAGGAGAGGAAAATGGTCACTGGGGAGCTCGCAGTCTCACTTGCAGATGTGATATGAATTCCTGGGACCCTGCAAAGGAGGAGGCAGGAGGGGACTCGTGGATTGAGTGCGTTTCTATTCCTCCTGTATCTCCTGTCATTTCTGCTTTATGAAGCTGTGCTATGGTCTTGGGGCAGAGCTGGTCATAGCTGTAGGTCATCATGGTGGGCTATACCCTTCAGCCTGTAAAGTCCCCTTCTTTACTTTCACTTCATGCTTCCTGAATCTGGATGTGAGCAGTGGCCCATTCATTCCTTCATTCAACACGCACTTCCCAAATGCTCACCACATGCCAGGGATTCTGCTAGGGGCTGGGGGTCTGGCCATGAGCGAGTCACCATCCCTTGGGAGCTCTACTCAAGTTATGAGCAGTCTAGGTGGTGGTTAAGTGGCAAACACCAGTCAGAATGTCTTACTGTCTTTATATCACCTGTTATCTATCAGTGTGCGTGCAGGAGGAAGGCATAGAATTTGTAGCAAAAGGCCTTTCTTTAGGATAAATGCTCAAGAATTCCAATCCTCAGGACCGGTATGAAATCTATCCCTTAGCCTTCAGTCCCAGTGGCTCCTTTGCTACTTCGCTGGAGGGAAGTCGGGGGAGGACAAGCTAGGAAGGGGCCTCAGTCTAACCGAGAATGTACGTATCCCAGGCACGGACTCTCGCTGTGATTTGCAGCATTCCTTGGTAACATCTTGGGTTTGTCACTCATGAGATTTTTCCACTGCTATGTCCCCAGGGAGACTGCAGGACAAGGCTGTGTGTCCCCTTTGCTGTGCCCAGGAAGGAGACCCGGTTGGTGGCAGCTGCGTGCATGTTTCCTGCAGCTGCCCCGTTGCTTCTAGGGATCCTGAGGTCTCACGTGGCTACTCATCCAGCTGCCCTCAGTGCCAGGACTTGCTCCCGGGGAAGAGCCATGGAAGCCTCGAGTGGCAGGAGGGCCTGCAGATGGCCAGCCTGAGCCCCAAGTCCCTGCCACAGTGTGGGCGTCACATGAAGCAGGTCCAGCTGCTCTTCTGCGAGGACCACGGGGAACCCATCTGCCTCATCTGCGGGCTGAGTCAGGAGCACCGAGGCCACCGGGTTCGCCCCATCGAGGAGGCCGCCCTGGAATACAAGGTAGGGCTTTCTGCATTGGGGTCCTTCTCTGCTGGGCACTTGAACACATCGGGGCTTGCTTCATTTCCCCCAAAACCCTGGGAGTTGGTGCATTGGCCAGCATCTTTGGGCTGTAAATGGCAAACACAATACAAAGTAAGCCAACAAAGAGAGATTTACTGGTTCATGTAGCTATGGGAATCTAGCTTTAGGTATGGCTGAATCCAGGTGCTCACAAGAGGTCATTAGAAATCTTTCTCACTGCCTCTTGGCTCTGCTTCCTTTGGTGTGATGGATTCATTCTTCCTCTTTCCTGGGTACCTCTCCCTGTGCTCTTGGCTGCCTCACCTTCAGCTTTATTCCGTGAAGCAAGTTTTCCCATCTAGAGTTGGCACCAAGATGGCAGGAGCCAAGTTCAAGCTTTGACAAGTGCTCTTTTTTTCCAGAAACAAATTCAGAAGCAGCTGGAGCATCTGAAAGAGTTGAGAAAATCTGGAGAGGAGCAGAGATCTCAGGGGGATAAGAAGACAGCAAACTTCCTGGTAAGGCTAGGGTGGTCTGTGGCCAGTCTTTGCCTGGATTCACCCCTGCAGAAGGAGGGAGGGAACCGAGAGTGAGCAGGGGTCCCTGATGTCCTGTACTGGTTCACAGGGAAGCAGAGCCGATCACATAGTTAGAATCACCTGCTCTTGGGGGGCAGGGAATAACAGGTGTCAAAGGATGAGCTTGTCCCTGGGGAGGGAAACCACCTCCAGCAAGAAGTGGAATCTCCCAGGACCCTATCATGCTTTCTTAGACTCACCACAAAATGGTTTAGAGAAACGAATGCCAGTGGCTGTAGCTGAGGAATGGGACTGAGGAAAGGGGAGGAGAGACTATTCAACTTTAAATACTCCTCTGTATTGTTTTTATAATTGTTGTTGTGGTCTATTGTACTTTTTTTTTTTGTACAAAAACCATGTTGATTTTTAAAATTCAAATGCTTAAAGTAGACATTTTCTTTAAAACTGTGGTTTTAAAGAAACGCCACAGATCTCAATAAGTACAACTTAGTGGCCTTCCTGTTAAGCTGTTGTCCAGACTCGGATGCGTTAAGTTGCTCCTGTTTTCCCTGCATGCGAAGGAGCCCACCCCCAGAGCCTTGATTTATCTGGTGCATTTCTGTTGGTTGGATCCTGTCTCCCACTATGAGTTCCAAACTTCTTCAGGGACCCACCACACTGCAGTGGCAAACAGGCAAAGATAACAAAGGGCAGAAATGGGAGGAGGGTGGCATTGGTCCAGGTGTCTGACTTTTGGGAAACTCTTGAGTTGTAGTAAAATGAAAACCCTTTCCTATAATCCCAGGTGGCTTGGAACTTGTGGATGGAGCAGAGGTCAGGGGTGCCCCCCCAAGGAGGGTGAGGCAGGAGCCTGGGCTGATCAGGGAAACCCAGGGAGACAAGAGGGTTCAGCCTTCCCTTAAGATACAGTGACACGGGCTCTGTGGAAAGGAGATGCTGTTTTCAGGTCTTCGCCTTCTCCTCCTCCTTTTTACAATAATTAAAAGAAATATTTTTAATCATAGGGAAGGGGTTGGGAAAGCTCTTCTTTACAGCAGAAACCCAGATAAAACAAGTATAGAAGAATAATTGAATTAGAAAATTTCCACTATACAATTGACACCGACAGGGATCAGCAACAGATACTAAAATTTTTAGAGAAAATCGTTAGAGAACAGGATATTTACACACTCTCAAAGTACCACTCCCCAAATTACTTAGGAATTATAAAGGAAATAATATATACTTACAGTAGCGATATCTGGTAGACGCTTCCTTAACCAAGCATCAATCCTAGTATGACTATCATGATGATGGCAAACTGGACAGTCTTTGCCTCCCAGTGGGGTATGCTAGAAAGAGCATGGCATTAGGTCTATGGTATTCTTGCCCCAAATGTTTCTCCTGAATTTAATCATGAGAAAAATTATAGAATTTTAGAATATAGGCCATTGAATGAGACAACTGACCTGTCCTCTTAAAAAAAAAGTCCACGTTACTGCCGTCAACAACAACAAGAAGTGTTCCAGACTCCATGTTTAGGAACATCACATTGGAAACTTGAAACTGGCCACGGTGGGAATATCAACACCACAGAAATGGCAAATACCACAGCCCAGCCTTGGTTGATTGTTTTGTTGATTGTCTAGACTTAGAAAGTGTTGGAGAAAGTGTGACTTGTGCAGACCAGATGCACAGGTGCATGTCTGCGGTGCTCCATTCTAAAGACTGAGAGAACACTCTTCTGCACCCGAAACCCAGGACGTGATTCAGCAGGGCTGCTGATGTCACAGAGGAAGGAGTGAGATTCCACACACATCGAATTTATAGTCTTATTCCTTAATTACAAGAAAATACCAAGCAACATCAGAACCACTCTCGTGTGTCGACTAAGGGACTACGGTGGGCGGAGGATCAGGAGCCGGGCAAACATCCACGAAGCATCCTGTGAGGCCCTGGGCTCTCTGGAATTTACACGAGAGTTCTGTCCACTAGTATTTTTTGTTAATTGTGTGTATCAGTTTAGCTAATAAATGAATGTGCCCATATTAAAAACAACGACAAAAGGTGAAGAAACTTTTTTGGTTCAAAAGAACTAAAGACTTAATCCTGTCCTTTTGAGCCAAAAATGAGATTTCTGCTGTCCAGTCCTAGTAGATCTGAAGGGCCCTCTCCCTCCTTGGAGGAAGGAAAGATACCCTAGAGCCACTTCACATGTCCACAGAAGCTTTTTAGTGATGATGAGAAAGAGGACGGCAGAAGAGGTCATGGTTGGCCAGTGTGCAAGAATATTGGAAGTCAAGTTCACTTGCGTTCAAATAGATGGACTGACTGACCCCTTTCAGGGCAGTCTGAGACTGTCGGGGAGTGGAGAGAACTCTCCCTCCTGGAGACTTTGTGGTCCTGACCTTGTCTGTTTATGACTCCAGACATATGCAATCCTCACGCTGCCTTTCAAGGAAGGAAGAAGGTGACACCAGTTATCTTAGTGTTCTGGGGCTGCCCTTGCAAAGTACCATAAACTGGGCGGCATAAACCACAGAAATGTATGCCTCCCACAGTTCTGGAGGCAAGGTGTTGGCAGAAATGCTTCCTTCTGAGGGCTGTGAGGGAAGGCTGCTCCAAGGCCTCTCTCCTTAGCTTTTAGGTGTCTCCTTCCCCCTGTGTCTCTTTACATGGCATTCTCCATGTGTGTGTATCTGTGTCCAAATTTCCCCACTCCAGTGGCCCACCCCACTCCAGCACGACCTCATCTTAACTAATTGCATCCTCAATGACCCTATTTACAAATAAGATCATATTCTCAGGTACTGGGGTTAGGACTTATAACACATACATTTTGGAGGGGACACAATTCAATCCATTTTACCAGGTTTTAGGGCATTTTCCAAAAGCCAACCTGTTCTGGAAGGTGCCAGCTCATTTTGCCTCCTACTCTGGAATTCAGGCCTCCAAGAGGCTGAGGAAGCCTGCTCTTACCCACCCCCAGGAGGTGGGCTTCTGCGGGTTCCCTGGGCACACATGTCTACCTCACCGCATAGGCCCCTACACCTCCCTGACTTCTGTTCCCCAGAAACAAGCTGAAACCCAGAAGCAGAGAATCCAGTACCAGTTGGAGCAGTTATGCCAGTTTTTAGAGCAGCAAGAGCAGCTCTTTGGGGCCTGTCTGGAGGAGCTGGGCCAGACCATTGGCCAAGTCAGGGAGACATATGGCACCCGGGTGACAGGGGACATCGCCCTTCTCGACAAGCTGATTGGGGAGCTGGAGGCCAAGCAGTGCCAGCCAGAATGGGAGCTTATGAAGGTAAGTGTGGCTGGGCCTGGCCTTCCCCCATCCACTGTGTGCAGTAGGGTGACATGGGCTCCCAGCACTGCCATCAGCTATGCCCAAGCCAGTGGGTGAGGCTCTTAGGGCCAGGGGCGGGACTTGGTCTTGGTGACCCACAATGCCCAGGCCCCTTCAATGAATTCTCAGGAGCCCAGGATGGCCCAGTATCTAGGGGATCCTGTGACATCTCCCAGAAGAGACCAGCAGAGTTTGGGTACAGTTATGTGCAGGCCCCAGCCAGGGTGCCACCTCAGCAGATTAGAATTAGAACTGGGGAGAGGTGCCCCATTTTTGCTGACACTGTGGGGCTGGGAGCCCAGGAGGAGAGGCCAAGGAGTCAGCACAGCCCCTATGAGACTGGTAATAGAGAACTTCCCTCTTTTCTCTCCTAGGACGTCAGAGTCACCCTGCACAGGTACCAAGAGGTCCCCTGATGATCCCTTGGGTGTACTGCAGGAAGTATTTGGGGAGGCAGACCTAGGAGGGAGATGATCCCAACCCGCGGCCTGTGGCTCCTCCCTGGGTCCTCCCATCTCCTGCAGCTTCCGAAGGTGAAGGCCTTTCTGGACTTGTGTAGCAAGAATGGGAGTACAATCAGGAGGGGGAGCATGGGGTCAAAGACTGGACCAAATGAACATGGCCTGTTGTGTGGTGGTGGCTTCATAAGAAACCCCCCCTAACAGACTGTGTCCCATGCAATTCACCTTATGAAAACTGTTCCTGCAGGAGTGCTTGTGGCCACAGTGAGGGAAGCACTTTCCAGGAGTGGATCTGCTAAGCCCAGCAAGCAGCGGAAGGGAGGGAAGAGTAGGGGAGGGGAGGGGAGGGGAGGGGAGGGGAGGGGAAGAGGCTGGACCTTCCAATCGCCTGGGGGAGCTTTACAAAATCCTGACATCCAGGTCCCCGCAGACAAATTAAACCTGAATCTTCAGGAGTACAACCCAGGCATCAATTTTTTAAAGTATTTTTTTGGTGGTAAAATATACATAACAAAATTTACCATTTAAAAATGTACAGTTCAGGGCTTCCCTGGTGGCACAGTGGTTGAGAGTCCGTCTGCCGATGCAGGGGAAACGGGTTCGTGCCCCGGAACAGGAAGATCCCACATGCCGCAGAGCGGCTAGGCCCGTGAGCCATGGCCGCTGAGCCTGCGCGTCCGGAGCCTGTGCTCTGCAACGGAAGAGGCCACAACAGTGAGAGGCCCACATACCGCAAAAAAAAAAAAAAAAAAAAAAGTACAGTTCAGTGGCTTTAAGTACATTAGCATTGTTGTGCAACCATCACCATGATCCATCCCCAGAATTTTCTCATCTTCCCAAATGGAAACTCCATACCATTAAACAACTCCCCAATCTCCCCTCCCCCAACCCTTGGCAACGACCATTCTACTCTCTGTCTACATGAATCTGACTACTCTAACTACATCATATAAGTGGAATCATACAATATTTGTGTTTTTGTGTCTGACCTACCTCACTGAGCATAATGTCTTCAAGGTTCATTCATGTTGTAGAATGTGCCAGAATTCCATTCCTTTTTAAGGTTGAATAATATTCCATCATGTGTATATACATTTTGTTTATCTATTCATCCATCAGTGGTACTAGGTTGCTTCTACCTTTTGGCTACTGTGAATGATGCTGCTATGAATATCGGCATACCTATATTTGTTTGAGTCCTGCTTTCACTTCTTTTGGGTATATCCCCAGAAGTGGAATTGCTGTATCATACAGTAATTCTATGTTTAAGTTTTTGAGGAACTAGAGTACTATCTCCCGTGGTGTCTGCACCATTTTACATTCCCACCAGCAATGCTCAAGGGTTCCAATTTCTCCATATCCTTGCTAACACTTGTTATTTTTTATTTTTTTAAATAGTAGCCATCCTAATGGCTGTGAAGTGGTATCTCATTGTGTTTATTTTTCTCACTTAATATCATTTTTATTTCAATAGAAAGAAAAAGACTCAGGGAAGTGTAATTAATTTGACATAAGTAATTCTGGGCTGAGCATTTCAACATCAGTACCACTTTATGGCCATTATCAAAACTCACTGTGATTTTGATACCAGTGGTTTTTAAAACTCCCCCAGGTGATGCCAATCCATGGCCAGAGTTGAGGACCAGTGTTTAGAACTTGAAGCCCAGGGAGAACTTTCTTTGAGAAGCCAAGGCTGGACTGGGTGTGCCCTGTGGAGGCTGCACCTCCCTTCCAGCTCATGAGACCCTGGGCTACCCCCACGCTCCAGTCCTTTTGGGCCAACAATCTTTTGTCTCTAGGGCCAAGAAGGTGACTGTCCCTGAGCTGTGGGCCACCCCTCCAGAGGTGAAAGAAAAGATCCACCTGCTCTACCAGAAATCAGAGTTTGTGGAGAAGCGCATGAGGCACTTCTTGGGTAGGTGGGCTTGTGGGAAGATGGGAGGCGCCTGCTCACCTCCTCCCTGAGAGCCACGTAGCCTGGAGCCCCCCGGTGTCCCTTCTCCATCCCCCACGGCCTTTCTGACTCTGCCTTCAGCCCCTCCCACACCTGTCCCTACCTGGGAACCTAACTCAAACTCCTTCTCCTTTTAGAAACCCTGCGTTCAGAAATGGAAATGTTCAACGGTGAGTCCGGTGGTGGTAGTATGTGTTGGCCAGGGATTACTGCAATTTTCCCTTGTGCTGTTGATTTCTGGGAATTATTTAGAAAAGAGAAAACACCTGTAACAAAGGTGGGAGCAAAGTCATGACAAGTCCTCACAGGCTCTGTGCCAGGGTCACTGACTGTCAACTCACCAGAGTACAGAGTATCCAAGGCAGGCCTGGGTACCAGAGAGGAATGGGGTTATATCCAAGCAGAGGAAGCCGAGTCCTGAGCAGGGAGAGGGAGTCACTGTCTTTCCTTGTTGTGGGGACCAGGGTAGATTTAGCCCTCTGAATGGGAATGCTCAGGATTTTTCCCATCTCCTTTTCTCTGTAGTTCCAGAAGTGACTGGTGGTCAGGCACCCTGAGGCAAGTAGACCTGGCCTGCTGGGTTCCTGTGCTGTCCCCCGGTACATTCCAGAAGAATGACCCTGTCCACATTTCTTGGATGTGGGGAGAACCCTGTGGGGATGTTGCCCATGGACCTCAAGCTAGGAATTCTAATTCTCTCTGCAGTTAATGTGATTCTGGAAGCAGAAGCTGCCCACCCCAACCTCATCTTTCATCTTCTCTGATGACTTGAAGAGTGTGAGACTTGGAAAAAAAGTGGGACCGTCTACCTGCTAGTCCAGAAAGATTCTATAGCTGAATCATTGCCCTGGGCTCTCTGAGTTTGCTCTCTAGCTGCCATTACTGAGAAGTGAAGGTGGGAGACAAGACAGGGTGGGTCCTGGGTGTCTGCAAGGCAGCCACGAGCAGCAAGGAGAATATGGCTCTCTCACCAGAGAATAGTTATTGGGTAGAAATGATGATGAAGTAAAATGAGTGCCAGGCGTCCAACTTTCCCTCCACCCGGATGAGGGAGCCCCCCCAGGCATGTGGGCATCTTCCTGAACTACAAGACTGGGGACATTTCCTTTTACACTGTGACAGCCAAATCCCACATCTCAACATCCATTGGCTTCTTTTCCTCTGGGCCCCTTCAACCTATCTTCAGCCCCAGGACACATGATGGAGAGAACATGGATCCTCTGAATATCCGTCCAGTGGGTGGCCAGGGGCCTCACTGAGTATCCAACACTTTGCATCTTTCTTCAGGCTCCTGCCCTGTATCTTGAATCCATACATTCAACAGTCATTATTGAACACCTACTGGGTTCCAGCTGCTGTGGGGAATATAATCAATAAGAGAATAGGCCCTGTGCTCAAGGAGCTTATGGAACAGAAGCAGAAGCAAGCTGGGTAAACAAATATTGGTAAACCAAGGGTAAAGAGAACACATGTATTGATGACATGCCATGGATTTCAGAGAAGGAAGCACACAGCTGTTGCTTAATAAATCCTTGTATGAATTAGCACTCTAAGATGCTTCTGAGACAGAGAGCCCACCCTCGTTTTCCCTCAGGACTCCATGGCTAGGATGTGTTCCCTCATTCTATCCTCCCTTTTGTTTTTTATAAATAAAATTATTTATGAATAATAACATCATAGAGCTTACATAGATGATCATTAACCATAACTTTTTAATTTTACAAATGAGAGTTTTGAGGCCTGGAATTAATGCATTTTGTTTATTTACTTATTTTTCTACCAGTGTTTGGGGACTGATTTTGGGCTAAAAGCAGCACCAGTTGCTGAGATTACAGAGAGAGCAAGATAAAACTTCTGCCTTTTAGTGAAAACCTTAACTGTAGTAAGGATCTGAACAGTAAATGTGTAAGCCCAGAGCAACATAGGTACTAAAATATAAATATATATTGGAACAATATGTGAGCATGTTACAAGTAGTAACTGAATAGAGGATTCTGAGAGAATTTCACAGAGTACTTTAAGTGAGTCTTAATGACTAAGAATTATTTTGAAAAGGAGTGGTGAAAAGGCATTTTAAGTGAAGAATGGCATATGAAGTGTCACAATATGAAGCAGCATGAGATTTACAATTTAAAGTGCCTGATGGGTTTTTGATGGTATGTCAGTGTGGTATGAGAATGGAAACTCAAGACTAATATTGTCAAGAGGCTTATGCACTATGCATAGGAATTTGGACCTCATTGTGCTGTCAGGGAGAGCTAGTAAAGTGTTTCAGGGCGGCCAAATAGAGGTTAAGTGGCTTGTTATCATTCACAGGAAGTAGAGTTCAAGTCATGATTGAAATCCAATGTTCTTATTCTTATTAACAAGTAGACTATAATAAGAGTATAATATATGATAATAATATTTATTATACATTTACTATGTGCTTAGTTCCACGTTTTTATTTTAGTTAATCATCACCGTAAAGCTATGGAATAGAGAAGAATTCTGCCTAGAATGACTTGCTGATTATAAGTAGGAAAGAATACTTTTGAGCCACTACGCTTTGATCTTTGACCAAACCCTATATATGTCTGCAGTTTCTATTTGCCTGAGAGCTGGAAGAGTGAGTAAAACAACTATACCTTTATCACTTCAGGAAACTGAGCGATTATTCTGTGAATTTGTAACAAAACCCATTAAACTATCAAGACTTCTCAGCTAGATTAAAGTAGGTGGTAAGGGAAACAAAATCGTTTATGGACAGAAAAAGACCTTGAAAAAAATCACATGAACGCCTTCAGTAAGTCATTACATAGACCAAAACCATGCCGATGTCAGTCCATATCATGCTGGAGCCACCACAGAGCATCAGAGTTTAGGGTACAGGGATGCAGGAAGAGAATGTCGGCCTACAGGGCAACAGTGAAAGATTTTAGCATCCACCGAGGAGACGGGATGAACCATTTTGAGACTCTGCCAGGGGTAGGAGGGCTTTTATAGGGTGAGATTAAGACGACTTTGCTTGTATTGTTTTCTCTAGTGGGTGTCTAAACTACTATTAATAAGATCCATAGTTTTGGTTGTATTCTCCAAGGTTGCAGTGGAAATCAGAAAGCTATAAGACAGTTGAGTCTGGCTAAGTAAGAAAATTACCAATTATACTCAGAAAAGAGGAAGCAGTATGAGACCCTTAGTTAAGTGCTACAAATATGACTTCCTTTAGTTGAGCATTTCTATTTCATTTATTGTTAAAAATGTCTTTTGAAGTCTCAAGATGAAAAATCACTTAGAAGCAGAAATTTTTAGGGCTTCCCTGGTGGCGCAGTGGTTGAAAACCCGCCTGCCAATTCAGGGGACACAGGTTAAAGCCCTGGTCCGGGAAGATCCCACATGCCGCGGAGCAACTAAGCCTGTGCGCCACAACTACTGAGACTGCGCTCTAGAGCCCGCAAGCCACAACTACTGAAGCCCATGTGCCTAGAGCCCGTGCTCCGCAACAAGAGAAGCCACCGCAATGAGAAGCCCGTGCACCGCAAAGAAGAGTAGCCCCCACTCACCACAACTAGAGAAAAGCCCGCACGCAGCAATGAAGACCCGACACAGTCAAAAATAAATTAATTAGGGCTTCCCTGGCGGCGCAGTGGTTGAGAGTCCGCCTGCCGATGCAGGGGACACGGGTTCGTGCCCCGGTCCGGGAAGATCCCACATGCTGCGGAGCGGCTGGGCCCGTGAGCCATGGCCGCTGAGCCTGTGCGTCCGGAGCCTGTGCTCCACAATGGGAGAGGCCACAACAGTGAGAGGCCCGTGTACCGCAAAAAAAAAATTAATTAATTAAAAAAAAAACACTTTAAAAAAGAAATTTTTAACAGAGTCAATGATTAAGCCTGCGGGTACTAACAAAGCCTTTTGTTACAAGAGTCTGGTATATAAGATGGTATTCTCTGTAGTATATTTTTTCTATAGATCTAAAGGACTAATCATTTCAGCAAAGGCTGGAACTCTAAAGCACTAGAATTTGTTTTGATCATATATTGCATTACTGTTAAATGCCCAGGCGATAGATGTTATCCATTCTGTCTTCCTGGAATATTAAATTGATGGAAGAATTGTGAATTTTTGTAGAATGTTCATCTGTTTGATGTTACACTGTCTGGTGTGTGCATTTAAAAGTGACCTTCTGTGCACTCACATTATGGATACTGCCCAGTAATATTCTGTTTGCTTAGAGGGAAGAAGGAGGACACCACTATATGCTACTAGTTTTTTTTTTTTAACTTTTTTTAAAATACATTTATTTATGACTGCATTGGGTCTTCATTGCTGCACACAGGCTTTCTCTAGTTGTGGCAAGTGGGGGCTACTGTTTGTTGTGGTGCACGGGCTTCTTATTGCGGTGGCTTCTCTTGTTGCGGAGCATGGGCTCTAGGCACACGGGCTTCAGTAGTTGTGGCATGCAGGCTCGTAGTTGTGGCTCGTGGGCTCTAGAGTGCACGCTCAGTAGTTGTGGCGCACGGGCTTAGTTGCTTCGTGGTATGTGGAGTCTTCTGGGACCAGGGCTGGAACCCGTGTCCCCTGCATTGGTAGGCGGATTCTTAACCACTGCGCCACCAGGGAAGTTTCTATATGCTCCTAGTTTTTCTCCAGGTTTCTCCTGTTTTTCTGGAACTGGGGGTTAGTGCACTGGGTTAACCCAATTCCGGTCTTTCAACATTTTCCTGTTGGCAGGCTATAATCAGAGTCAACCTGCCTGCATCTCCAAAAACTGCTCTGATTATCCTCACCTCCCAAAGGAACAGAAACAAGACACTTTAGGGTTTTGAGGATTTTATACAATTCACCTATCAAGTTTCTATCGATAGAGCTACTACCTAGCTAGTGAGCTAGTCTTTGAGGAGCTGCCTTGTTAGAACTTCAGGGATATTATACTAAATGGCTAAGACAAATCACTTGGAAAAATATCCTTAACACATAACTTTATGGCCAGACTAAATATCTGTTCTATGAATAGTCCAAAGGAGATAAGACAGTGGGGAGAGGAAGATTAGAGAAAGAATGAGAGATGAAGCAAAGGGAGACAGAGAGGAAGTTTAAATCAAGTTGATTTATGGGATATCCTCCCTGTCTTGAGGACTTAGGAAGCCTTAGGAAAAAACAAGCAAACTGGATTATTATAATACACTTTTGTACATGTATTAATGAACTGTGGTTCTTAGAATTATTGGCTGGGCCCCATAAATAAGTCCATTAGAAAATGCAGTTGTAACTGCATTTGTTGTCACTCATTTGATTACTGTGAGATCCCACTTCCCTACAAGAGACCAAGAAAAAGATGGGGCTGCTGTCATGGAAAAACATTTGACAGACATCCCAAGTGTCACATTATTCTGTACTGAGCTGTATCTGCAAATCTGTGGGCCTGTGGAATATTAGGTGTTCTAGTTCACAGATGTCCCTCTATCATCCTCCATTTAAAGAGACATAAAGAGAGGGGGGAGGGAGAGGGATGGACTAGAAGTTTGGGGTTAGTAGATGCAAACTATTACATTTAGAATGGATAAACAGCAAGGTCCTACTGTATAGCACAGGGAACTATATCCAATCTCCTGGGATAAACTATAATGGAAAAGAATATTTAAAAAAAGAATATATATGTGTACAACTGAGTCACACTGCTGTACAGCAGAAATTAGCACAACAGTGTAAATCAACTATACTTCAATTTAAAAAAATTATCACACACACACACACACACACACACACACAAATAAAGAAACATAGAGAGGGATGTAAGAGAAAAGGAGAATTGGGAATTCCCTGGCAGTCCAGTGGTTAGGGCTCCATGCTTCCACTGCAGGGGGCATGAGTTTGATCCCTGGTTGAGGAACTAAGATCCAGCATGCCACATGGCATGGCCAAAAAGAAAAAGGAAAGAAAAAAGGAGGATCAAATGAAGATTGAACCCCAAACTCCTCCTACCCCAACTTCTCTTCCCATCTTCACCCTAAGCCTCGATTGGACTTAGGTTCTCCATGGTTGTGACCAGAGCACAAAACACACGCTTCGCTTTCTTCATGGAGCTTTGTTCTACATGCATAATCCACATGCTGGCACAGCTCACGTTCCCTATTTGTTTAGCCGTTCCCTATGGTTGGCGATTTGTTGTTGCCAATTCTCCCTTGCTATCGTTCCATAAACAGCTTGGTGTATATATATATATATATATTTTTTGGCGTACATTTTTTGCCACCTCCTCCCCATACACATATATTTTCTCCTGTTATTCCTAAAATTGTTCCAGAATGTGAGCTATTTGATAACACTTGCAGTAGTTGGCCATACAATATTTTGGAAAGAATGTTTCACGCCCAAAGCAATGTTTGTCGTTTAAAATTTTTGCTGATATAATAGAGATGTAATGAGGTCTTACCTGTTTTAATTTATTTCATTACCTGCTAATGAGGCTGTGAATTTTTCCATGTGTATTTCTACTTTTTTGCTTCATTCTGTCAACACACATTTTTTTTTTTCTTTGTGGTACACGGGCCTCTCATTGCTGTGGCCTCTCCTGTTGCGGAGCACAGGCTCCGGACGCGCAGGCTTAGCAGCTATGGCTCACGGGCCCAGCCGCTCCGCAGCATGTGGGATCTTCCCAGACCAGGGCACGAACCCGCGTCCCCTGCGTCGGCAGGCGGACTCTCAATCACTGCACCACCAGGGAAGCCCAAACACACATATTTGATAAACAATTATAATAGTAATAGAAAACAGTTTTATTCAAGCCAAACTGAGGACTACAGCCTGGAAGATACAGATTTAAGAAGCACCTGAATTGTGTTCCATCAGACTACAAAGTAGGGGAGGCTCGTATAGGCAAAAACCGCAAAGCTACATATGTTGTTTGTCAAGAACCACAATTGAGGACTTCCCTGGTGGCGCAGTGGTTAAAAATCTGCCTGCCAATGCAGGGGACACGGGTTTGAGCCCTGCTCCGGGAAGATCCCACATGCCGTGGAGCAACTAAGCCCGTGCACCACAACTACTGAGCCTGTGCTCTACAGCCCGTGTACCACAACTACTGAAGCCCGCGCGCCTAGAGCCCATGCTCTACAACAAGAGAAGCCACCGCAATGAGAAGCCCACGCACTGCAACGAAGAGTAGCCCCGCTCGCCAAAACTAGAGAAAGCCCGCGTGCAGCAAAAGACCCAATGCAGCCAAAAATAAAAAAAATTAAAAAAAAGAACTACAATTGAAGCTGGCAAGAAGTAAGAGTGCTTTTTAAGTATGGACTGGTTGGGGTCCAAAATAGTTGCAAAGTTACAAGGGGAAACGTTGGACCATTAGGTTGCAGCTGGCACCTACTAGCAGATACTGTTTTGAAAATGGCTTGTGGTATCCTTGAGTTTGATACAGTTCAGAAAATTCAGGGTCTCAATGATGCAGGCACATGTCTGAAACTACATCTCAATCGCCACCCGGCTCTATTTTTCTTTTAATATTTATTTTTTAATTTATTTTGGCTGCGCTGGATCTTTACTTGCAGCATGCAGGCTTCTTAGTTGCAGCATGCATGCAGGATTTAGTTCCCCAAACAGGGATCGAACCCAGGCCCCTTGCACTAGGAGAATGGAGTCTTAGCCACTGGACCACCAGGCAAGTCCCACCTGGCTGTATTTTGGATACCTGAACCACAGTTTTATATCTTGTCAGAACAAAGAAGAAACATCGAACATGACAGAGGTACATTCCTTCAAGGTTTCAAAAGGGACAGATTAGCATGCACACAGCTAGTTAGCATGACCTTGGTGTCTGGGAAGAGAACTTCATCTTCAAAGGAGTACCAGCACTGGCATCGTGGGGGCGGGGAAGGGGGGGGCACTTATCCCTATCTTCAAAGTGGAATTCTAAACAATCTGGTAACTGTATTCCTTTTTCTTTTTTCAAATGGTTAAAGCAAGGCTTCCCTGGTGGCGCAGTGGTTGAGAGTCCGCCTGCTGATGCAGGGGATACGGGTTCGTGCCCCGGTCCGGGAAGATCCCACATGCCGCAGAGTGGCTGGGCCCGTGAGCCATGGCCGCTGAGCCTGCGCGTCCAGAGCCTGTGCTCCGCAACGGGAGAGGCCACAACAGTGAGAGGCCCGTGTACCGCTTAAACAAAAAAAAAAAAAAAAAGGTTAAAGCAGATGTATAATGTATGTTTGACAGGCCATAAGACAGGCCTATTCTAGTTAGTATAAAGGTCAAGCCAAATCACGTATAAGCCAGAATGACTTCCCTATACTTCAACATGTGAAAATTGCTTCCATCAAGTCTATAAAAATGGTACAGGTCCTTTAACTACTTGCCATGTGGACTCTAGATTTTGAACTTAGTTGTCTGTAGTACTTCTTCATAAATATTTTACATACTAAACATTTGTATTTGTAGGACGTAATTTTCCCTGTCTGGCGGTCTTTTTTAATTGAGATATAATTCTCATAGCATAAAATTCACCCTTTTAAATACACAACTAAGTGGTTTTTAGTATATCCACAATGTGTACAAACATCACCACTAATTCCAGAACATTTTTATCACCCACAAAACAAACCCTGCACTGCTTAGCATTCACTTGCTATTCCTCTCTGCCCCCGGCCCCTGGCTACCACTAACCTTTTTATCTCTATGGATTTGCCTATTCTGGACATTTCACATAAGAATCACACAAAGTCTTGTGTCACTGGGTTCTCTGGCTTAGCACAATGTTTCAAAGTTCATCCATGTTGCAGCATGTATCACTGCTTTGTTCCTTTTTTACTGCTAATAACCCATTATATGGATATACTATATCTTGTTAATCTGTTCAATAGACAGGTTGTTTCTACTTTTCAGCCATTATGAATAATGCTGCTCTTCAGGTACAAGTTTTCACTTCTCTTGGGTTTATACCTAGGAATGGAATTGCTGGATCCTATAGTAAGTAAATCTATGTTAACATTTTGAAAGACTGCCAAACTGTTTCCAAAGTGGCTAAGCATCTTTTCATTCTTTCTTTTCTTTCCTTCCTTCCCTTCCTCCCTTTCTCTTTCTTCCTGCCACACTGCATGAAGGGGCATGCAGGATCTTAGTTCCCCAACCAGGGGGGGGAACCCATGCCCACTGCAGTGGAAGCACAGACTCCTAACGACTGAAACACCAGGGAATTCCCATTAAGCATCTTTTCAAATGTTAATGATCATTTAGTTTTCCTCCTCTTTGGAATGACTTCATAGCTTTTGCCTTAGTCTTTGGTCAGTTAGCAGGAGCTCTTTGAATGCCGGGAATGCCTTAGTCTTTATCTGGTTTATCTTCTACAATTATGTCCCAGTCTACTGCTTGATTTTATTGTTTTCTAAAGTTTTTTTTTTAAAATACAGTCACACAAGCTTATATTTTACTTTAAGGCACCTCAGTTTCCTATTTTGCCCAATATTAAACTTAACCTTCTCTTAAGCGTTCTTTCATTGGCTATTAAATTCCATCTTTTTGTATGTAGTGTAGAGACAAGAGCCTTTTTTCCCAGAAGAATCATTTCTGCTAGCACCAAGTTAAATGCTATCCTTGCATACAGGTCGACATATATTCAGATCAATTTTGGCTATACTGTTCTATTTATTCACGTGTAGTTCAAACTACACTGCTTTGATTAAAGAAGGTTTTTTTTTGTAATTTTGATGTCTGGAAAGACAGGTATTCGTTTTGTTTTTTAAGTTTTGTTGCCACACAGTTTTTTCTTTCTTTCTTTCTTTTTTATTTTATTGATTGATTAACTGATTGCTGTGTTGGGTCTTCGTTGCTGCGCGAGAGCTTTCTCTAGCTGTGCTGAGCAGGTGCTATGCTTCATTGCGGTGTGTGGGCTTCTCATTGCGCTGTCTTCTCTTGTTGAGGAGCACGGCCTCTAGGCACAAGGACTTCAGTAGTTGTGGCTCAGGGGCTCTAGAGCGCAGGCTCAGTAGCTGTGGCACACGGGCTTAGGTGCTCCGCCGCATGTGGGATCTTCCCGGACCAGGGCTCAAATCCGTGTCCCCTGCATTAGTAGGTGGACTCTTAACCACTGCGCCACCAGGGAAGCCCCTGCCACACGGTTTTGACACTACTCTCTTTATAACATGTTTTAGATCACAGCTGAGTGAGTCACCTACAGTTACCGTTATTAAACACAACTCATATTTTCACTTTAGTCATCCTACCTGAGGCTGGCGTTTACATAGAATAAGGCAATCCCTGCTCTTGTGTGGCCCCAATTCCTGATCACTGCCTCACTGGAAAATGAACCGAGTATGGGTACAATGCAGAAAGAAAAGACGAATTGAGGACGGTAACGGAGATGGACAGCTAGAATTCCTGAGAAAATAAGATGGCCGGTCCAGACCTCTGTGTAGAGGTTGGTCAATAGAGGAGGGGAGCTTCGCCCGGCTCTGACCGAAGGGCCGCCCCTGCCGAAAGGGACGGCTGTAACAGGGCCCTAGAACCAACAAAAACCACAACCTACCACCACCTCGCCGCCACCGCAATTTTTTGATAGACCCAAGGGTCTGGGGCGGAAACTGCGTCGGCCTCTCACAGACCTTCCGGTCCGTCAGACGGCCCGCTTCCGGTCGAGCCCCGCCCTGCTCCGCCCCAACCGCGGCGCCTGGCGATCTCCCATTGGCTGTTTAGCACCGAACTACATTTCCCAGTAGCCCTTGCAGCTAAACCATCCGTACCTGGAGTGGTGCCAACCTGTCTTGGAGGGTTTGAGCCAGCCTTCTGCTTTCCATTTCCCAGGTACAGCCGCAGAGAGAGTGGCTGCTGCCAACCTGACCTCCCTGCGTCCCTGAGAGCTCCGCCGGCCGGCCTCGAGCCTCGCCTTCCCAAGCGCAGACCGCTCGCTCCAAGCGAGGAGACCAGGCTTCCGCACCGGAAACGGGGCACCGGGCGTGACGTCACTGCTGCCTAGGCGCCCGGCCTCCCAGAAAGCACCGCGTCCCTGCCGTCCTCCCCAAGTGACGGCGGCGCACGCCAGTAGTCGCCGGCTGCCTGTGAGGACATTCCGAAGGGCGAGGGGTGGGCTTGCCCTCTCGAGCCTAGTTTCCCGGTCTCTCCCCGAGTCTGGGTCTTTGGGCTGTCCCCAGTGAGCGCCCAGGGGCGGCAGAACCCCAAGAGGTGAGGGACTCCGGGAGGGCGGGAACCAGGCTGAGGCGGCCTCTGGGGAGCGGAACAGAGTCTGTTGCTAGGGGAGCCTGGCCGGATAGGTAGCCGGGAGCGCACCCCAGGCAATGCCACCAGCTGGGCTTTGCGGTGAAGGTGCCCCTTGGCCACTGGGAGAGGCTGCAGAGCGGGCCTGGCCTGGTGGGCCCTACTGGGATGTCCCTTGTCGCTCTTACAGGGCTTTGAGGGCGGAAAGGAGTCAGCAGGCCACACGTAGACACCTCATGCGGCCTTGCGTTTGCTCCTTGAACCATCAGCAACCCCCGGAAGGGCATCCGAGGGACCTGCGGTCCAAGGGACGCAGTGAGGCCAGATTCGGTGGCCACGTTGACTTGTAAACAGATGCCCTCGGTATTGGACCTCGGATTTCCTGTCTTCTGGCCCATTGCTTCTTCTACCAGCATGAGTTAAACCTTTCTTCCCAGTGGAGTTTGCACTTCATTTTCTCATGAGGATGGCCGTTGAGGTTTGAACATCTTATGCTTTCATTCTCAGGATATTCCTTTCAGGCCTTGCTAAGAGTATCGGGTCAGGGATCTTCCTTACGGTTGTGAGTTCCCTACCGTAGTTTATCTTTCCTTTTTCATTTAGATCTCATGTGGCCTCACTTTGCAAGACACATACTGGAGTGCAGGCATCTCCAGCCTGACTCATGGTTTCTCTCATCTGCAGCGTGACTGACAGGTTTCCTCCAGTAAGAGGTGACTCTTGAAGCTCTGCAGAAACAAGTGTGTGTGTGATTTCAAGGCACGATGGCTGCAAAAGTGGTTCCTATACCCCTAAAGCCAAAGAGGTCCTTTATACTGAGAGTTCCTCCTAACTCCAAGCTGGGCCAAGATCTACTCCGAGATGCTACTAGTGGGCCCAAGACCATTCACCAGCTGGTTCTGGAGCACTTCCTCACCTTCTTGCCCAAGCCAAGCCTAGTCCAGCCCAGTCAGAAAGTCAAGGAGACCTTGGTTATTGTGAAGGATGTGAGCTCAAATCTTCAGAACAGAGGTAAGAAGCACATACTGTTTTACTAGAAGAGAAGGGGGTGGTACTGGGGGCTGAGCTAGACTTCCTTGTTAGTAATGAATTCAAGTTAGGTTGGTGGGTGTCGGAAAAAAAGAGTTGATTCCAATAAGTCAACGTGCCAGGGAGAGGGAGTACTTTTTTTCTCAAGCTGGAGCTTGAATGGTTTGCTAAGTGTGTGTAAAGCCACAGAATAAACAGTGTGTATCTTTTCTGTAGTGTCAGTTTTACCCAGACATTGGGGGAGGGGGAGTATCTTTTTAGGATAAAGGAATGTGGATGAATTATTGAATTGACTTCAGCTTATGTGGAATTTTGTTAACTTTTGTGCTTGCTGTGGGCATCTTCAGACTTTACCTTTCCCCATCCTTCCCCTTAGTAGTAATGGGAATTGTAAAAGGTGATTAGGGGAATATCCTTTTCATAGTGAAGAGACCCCATATAGGTTCAAGACCCTGTGGTTTGTGGATTGATCTCTGACTGGGCTCATAGGAACAGAAAAAGCCTTGAGTTACCTACCAAAGGAATGAGGACAGCCTGGATTCAAGGTGTGCGTAGAGTCTCCATATTAGAGTCACTGACTTTTCTATTAACTACAGCTTCCTCTTTCCCCAGTGCAACCTCATCCCTTAGTGAAGCTTCTACCCAGAGAAGGAATCCAGCAGAAACAGGAGACAGTGTCTCTGTGTTTGAAAGCTGAGTCTGAGGTGGGTTCAGTTTTCCTGTTCACTGTTTGAGTGCATCACCTTCTCTACTCTTGCAGCCCTCCCGTATATATAAACCCACTTTTGGGAGTCAGCAGGGAGATGGGGCTCTTTCTTCACTGCCTCCTTGGACAGTCATCTTTTTTTTTTCCCTCTGCCTCCTCTCTGAGCCAGGCTTTCCTGTCTGCATGGGACTTCTAGATCCCTTTTGCCATCCCTTCCCTGATCTTGGTCTTTCTTAACAGCAGGGCTGTCAAGGAACCTCTGTTACTAAGAGGAAGGGGGCCTTTTGCTCTTTCAGGAGCTGGTGGTCTTTGAGGATTTGAATGTATTTCACTCCCAAGAAGAATGTGTAAGCTTGGATCCTGTTCAGCAGCCCACCTCAGAGATTCAAGACAACAGCATTGGGGAGATGATGTTACTGGGTAAGAAATCAAGTCTCTTGTGTGAACACAAGATTGAAGGCTATGGGAAAAGCATGTTCTATTTCATCTCAGACTTTTTTGAGACATTGTTCACACCAGCTAAGTACATGTTTATGCACATTTAATTTTTTATTTATTCCATGTGGCAGAGCCTTCTCCAGCTGTGAGTGGCCATTTTCCCTGTATCTTGGGGGCAGTAAGGAGGGGACTTCTCTTGGTAAGCAAGACTTGAGGTTGATATACTCACATCAAATATTTAAACAGATAGAAAATGCGAGTATACTGTTTCTGAATCTCTGCACCCAGTGGTATTCTCCCCACAGTTATATTTTACATCAGTATATTTATTGGACACATGACTAATTCTTTTAAGTCTTTTTTTTTTTCTTGATGTTCAATAGCTGTGAAGCCTACTAGTGAAAGAGAAAATATATCCTACTTTTGATGGAAATAACATCTGGTACTTATTAAGCACTTGTGTGCCAATATGTGCTAGACACTTCTAACTACTTTGCATGCATTTATTATCTCCTGTAATTCTTATTATAGTACTGTGGTATATAGGAATCATTACAATTTCATAGATGATGGAACTGAAGCAGAGAGAAGTTAAGAAATTTGCTAAAGGTCACACAGCAGTAGGTAGTAGAGCAGGGTTTTGGACTCAGGGAATCTAACACCAGAGCACAGTCTTGGCCCAGTACAGTACTGCCTCCTTGCTGCATTTCTCTTAGTTTCATCAGTGAATTTCCTATATGGTTGGTGAATGAAACCTTCTTCATTTGTACTCATTTCCCAGTAGTGGCTAACAGGTGCTACATAGGAACTCATCTGTCAGCAGCTTCTCTGTAAGCTGCTTAGAGATGCTTCAGTTTTTCCCTAGAAATATACTGCTACCCTAGAGCCAGGGTCCCTCAAAAATCATTTTGCTGAGTGCCTAATACTTTTTACCTTGCCTTCAAGACTGGTTCTGAGGCTGAGGTTTTGTGAGTTGCCTAGGGTGACAGAAATACATAATGATTACTCAACTCTGTAGTTGTCTTATCCTGTATGGTTGGGGTGGTGGTACATAATAGGCCTGGTTAATTTCCCATAGATTATTATATGTAGTATTTTATTTTAGGAAACTGTATAAACAGATCAGATTTATTACACTGAGTTTTTCCTGAGTCTTAGGCAAAGCTAGCATTTATTTTGGGTGACTGACTGTTGGGCATGTTGCCAACTCCAGGAACACTTTGGCCCTGCACGTTGAGGACCTGAGACCCAATCCTCACCCTCTCCTTTCTTCTCCCTTATCCATACTCTGAAGCTGATGATTTAAGCTTAGAGTCATTCACCACATTTAATAAATGCTGTTTTACCCTCAGGCAGGGTTGGGTTTTGGAGTTGATATTCAGGAGGTTAAAAATATATATAATGCTCCATTTCTACTCTCTAAGAGCTTCTAAATTACAGCTGTAAAGAGCTTTGATAAGTCAAGGCAGGATTTGGACCCAGGAGCAGAGTTTGGAAGAACACGGATTTGATTTTAAATGAGATTCAGTCCATGGCAGGAAATAAAATGAGGTTATCCTCTGGGCACTTGGACATTGGGGATTGGAGCTCAGATGTAAGGATGTAAAGATTTGGGAGTCATCAGCATATAGCTGATAGTTGATATAGTAACATTTGGTCGGTTTGCAAAGGGAAAAGTGTAAGGGAATGAACCTCGTGGGGACAGGAATCAAAAGGAAGGCCCTTGACAGAGGAAGACAGAATTTGTGTTTCAGTCCAAGTAAACCACATGAAAACAACCAAAAAGGTAGAGCACTTAAATTCTCAGTGAGATAGTTCTTATGGTTGTATCTGCCCTCTACTGTGGTAAGAGAATATACCTTTCCAAGATTGATACAAATTGACTACATACTATGCAACAAAAACACAATAGAGTCCAAAGAGTAGAAATTATACATTAGGATCTATCACAATGCAATACAACTAGAAATTAATAATGAAATCAGAGAAAACAATTTCTTTCTACCAGTAAAGTTTAAAACTATTAAGTAACTTTGGGTCAAAGGAGTAATACAAATTAAAATCGCATAATTTTTCTGCATAACACTGTATCAGAATCTATGGTATAATCTAAAGTGGTACTCATAAGAATATGCAGGGATGAAAAAAATGTATACTGGTTTACAGAAATTAATTAAGCCTCTGATTTACAGTTAGGAAAACAAGGTAAGGGAAAACAGGAACAAAATATTAATAAATACAAACTTAGAAATCAATAAGTTAAAAATAGAAAAAGTAGAGGAACTAATAAGTAGAATGATTTACACACAAATAGATAAACCAATTTCCATAGAGGAAACTGAAATTGTCAGAAAACTAGTCCCACACACAAGAAAAAGGACCAGCCTTAGTTTCACAGAAAATTCTTGTAAATCTTTAAAAATCTGACAGTTCAAATTCTGTGAGAACTTTCAGAGTATAGAAGAAGGAAAACTTCCAGGTTCTTTTTATGACATTAGTGTAACAAAGATATCAC